TAGATGTAGTGAGCAAGTGTTGGAGCTAGGAACGTGTGCAACCTTTGACCAGTTAGAAGTACTAAGACTTTTTCAAGTTCTTGTTATTGTGAATGTCCCGTTATTGAATATCTGGGACTAGTTTAAACCGTCTATTATAAAACGGCTATCTAGCCATTTCAATAAAACAAATTACTGAAAAAAAAACAGTTTTTAGAAACGTGTATTTGGTAACAGAAACAGCGCAAAACGCAGCGCGTCATAGCGTGCTCTCCGCGCTTGATAGGACTAGCCAGCGGAGGAGCACGCACAAAGAGACAGCGAATACCGGCTGGTCCTATCAACTGCAGAGAGCACGCCATGACGCTGTGCCTCTTTCGCCGTTTGATTGGCCCTTCGGCTCATAACATCGGCCGCGCTCAGACCGAAGCTGAAACGAAGTATAAATGCGGTGAGAATGAATCCAACAGCCTTTTTTTTTTTAATGCTTTCCAGTTTGTTCAATCCTTCCGCCATGTAGGGAAACCTAATGGTATTAGCGTATTCCAGCACAGGTCTACTTAGCGTCTTATATGCTATATTTTTTGTTTCAGAGTCTGGAATTTTAAGGGTCCGTTTGAGATTAAAAAGGCGCATTTCTAGCCTTACATACAACATTATCAACATGTTGGTTCCAGGTTAAGTTTTTCTTTTTTTATTAAAGATAACGCCTAGATATTTATAATGACCTACATTTTGTATTTTTCTTTCGTTCACTGAATAGTTAAATTTTATGGGGACTTATTTCCAAGATATGGACATTCTTACAGTTTTGTCCTAAATTCTTGGCATCTGCCACCTGCTTCTCCACTTCTCTATCTTTCGTAGGGAACTATTAAGCTTTCATCGACCCTGCTGGGATGATGTCGCGGCATAAAAAATGCAATAAACTACCCGTTTGCAAGACTGTGCGAATATTCGAATAATAGACTATTCGATCTTTGCTTCGAGATGAACTGCGGTATTCATATCTTTCCAAACGTTAATCGCGGCGAGTTAGCCCTGCTGAGCGCGCTTCTAACCAAGTATGGGTGCACTGCAGAGGGGCGACAGAAACGGAAGCAAGCTCCGCGGATGTTGCTTCCCCGCAGTTCACCGGTGCTCGGCAAGAAGCGCGCTCAACAAGGCTAACCCGCCGCGATCAACACTTGGAAAAGTATAAATATCGCAGTCGCGTGCTTAGGAGAAAAGCAGGCCTGGAGTATTTAAAAAGAAACTGAAACTTTGTGAATGTTTATACATTGCATAAATTTTTCAAAATTAAACTGTGGCTATATGCAAGGGTATATGTTAGGCGGAAATGCTCCGACAACCTGGGTTCATCATTCGTGATTTTTTTTTTTTTTTAATTCAAGATTGAAGAAAGGATATTTGCACGTAGCAAAATTTATAAATCGCCTCGATTAGTTAAAGCTAGCCATCTCTATAGGCAGGATGCCGAACCGAACCCGAACCGAAAACCGGATCAAAACCATTATTTTTGACCGAACCGGAACAAAACCGAAACTGAAATCGAACGCTTCATATTGAACCTGAACCAGAACAAAACCATAATTTGATGTGGCGGTTACCGGTTCAACGAAAACGGTTCAGGGCCAATTGTGTCAATAATTGGTTTAAATTGGAAAAGCTGCGGGAGTGTATTTTTCTTATGTTGCCAAAACTAATCCTACATCCTGGGAAATATTTTTACATTTCGTTTTAATTGCATACGTAGTCAAAAATACATCACCGTCTGGAGAGCTTTAACGCTGCTTTGCTTCTTGGATTGACCCTGGCGGCGCAGTAGCGGCGGCGGCTATTTCAAAGCACCGCTTGGCCGCTTGGCTACGAAATGTCCAAGTGTCGAAGCGGATTGCGCCACTGTAGGCACGGAGGCCGTCCGCGAATGTTTGACCTCAAGATGGACCGTAGTTACAGCCGATGAGCCATTTAGCCAATCGAGCACCGTGGGCGCACCACGTGAGCTTCCGCTCGAGTGCAGCGACACCCTGAAGGAAGGGGGGGCAAGTACCGCGCTGCTTCGGCAGTATAGTTTATAGGGTCGCCTGTGGTCCATTTCAATAGGTTATCGGAGGCAACGTTACTCGACAATGATTCGCCGACGTACCGCGCCCTGGAAGGAGGCCAGGGGTAGGAGAAAGGGGGGGGGGGGGGGGGGGGGTAGGAGGAGAAGAAAATGTGTCTCTTTATTTTTTTTCTTTTTCTTGTAGGTTTGTCAGAGTAGCAAGGGCAGCATGTCACCTGTTCTACCATTTTCTCGTTTTTGTTTCAAGTCCTCATTATCGTCTTCAACTGAATATTCAAGAAACGTTGTTTGCTGAGGTGGCATTACCGTAACTTTGTTCGGTGGCTGACAGGTACAAATGAGCCGGTCTGAGTCCCTCAGACCGGGTCAATTGCATAGAGCGTTGTTTGCAATAAAACGTCAAAGTGACTAGACAAAGCATCACCACGAAATCTTTAAAAGAGCGTTTTTTTCCGCCGGAACCCGAAGCGCTGTGAAGATGTAGTCACGTCTCATTATGTATACGTGCGTGTTCACATGCCCGGTCATTGACACATCGGCCAGTGTGGCCGACGTAGACACGACCACAGCTTAACGGGATTAGCTAAACCACTCCAACTGCGCATTCGACGTACCTGTTTTTGTGTTTTACGGCACATTTGTTTCCTTTCGTGCCCCTGTCAGCCACTCTGGGGCATAGCTGTGACATCTTACTGGGTGCCAAAAACAGGTAGCGTGTATAAAAACACGTGTGTACAAAACAAGCAAAACAAACCAAAACATATGGAGGACAAGCAATCTAGCTAAAGACCTTTTACTGTTCACAAAATCACAGCCCAGCCTGTGATCTTCACCGCCCAGCACGAGTGTTTGTCGCTTCGGAAAGCGAGCAAAGCACGTGCTATACGCAGGAAAACTAAAAATGGCACCGGCCACAAGCTCTGTTTTGGAAAGGTCTATAGACCCATCCCGAAAATACGCCCTCTTCTGGCAGAGTTTTAAGTACTGCACAGCTGCATGTGCAAAAGACACCATAAAAATGAAAAGCCGATCACTTATATATAGGGTTCGGAGTTTTCGGTTTAAACCGATAAAAACCTATAAAAGTACGCCGAATTCATTTTTGGAAATTCGGTTTTAACCGAAAAGGTCAGTTTTTAGGTTCGACATTTTCGATTTAAACCGATAAAAGTTCGTCGAGCTCATTTTCTAAAATTCAGTTTTAACCGGAAAAGGTCACTTTGACCTTCCAGTCGTACAACAGAGCCGTGGCAAAAAAGTGGTACGACAGTGTCTATCGAAACGTGTCCGAAAGTATGGGATACACGGATGGCATCACGACGTTTTGGTTTAATGTGCGCATCATTGATCGGAACGTGAAGAATTCCGAAATGCCCCATGACTTCGCCATGTACGAGCATGCTTTCAAACTCGTTGTAAGGAAGACTGACGTGATGCAAGCTCTGCATGTTGTGTTGTGCTTTAAAACGTCGCACCGTGCCTTTTTCGGCGGTCACAATTGGTTGATTTGCCGATGTTGGCTCAGGCAGCGCTTCATCTCCTCAGCCTGTCAGTGTCCGGTGTTAGCGTTGAGGGGGCATTCTCGAAGCTCAGGGTCATATTAACAGAAAAGAAAAAGTGAGGATTAAGGAGAAGAACCTTGGCAAGTACATGTGTGTGTACTATAATGAGATTGCGTAATCCTGATGTACAGAAGGTGAAGTTCCATGTTTATTGGGCATAGGCTTCATATCTGACTTGTTTTTACTTCTATGTTGTTTTTTTTTGTTTCTTTTTACAGTTGCACAAATTTTCCAAATGAAGTGTTCATTTCTTTTTCAATGTATCTGTGCCGTTATTCTTTGAGTGATCACAAATATCAGAGCTACGTACAAGGATCATCTGATCCGGTGTCCGTTAGTGTTTATTTTATATTCACCGAAAAAAGCCGATAAACTTTTGTGGGCATAAATATCCGCCGAAAAAAACCGAAAATTGTATTTTAAAATAAACACCGATAAAAGTACGCCGAATTTTGAAAAAATAGAAACCGAAAACGCGGAACCCTACTTATATATAGTTCACTTAAGAACAGTAATATAAGGAGTATTCACTGGCGGCCATAGCTGTGTGTGCGAATGCTGAGCGCATGCTGAAGGCGAGCTTCGACAGTTCTTTTGCAACGTGCATTCCGCACCATCAAGAGTGCCAGTCTTAGCAGCCTATTGATGTGAGCTCGTTCTGAGCATGCGCTCTAAACAGCACCCACAAATATGGCGTCCAGTGGATACTCCCTATACAAGTAATAGCCTGGCCACATAAAAGGTGTCTTGCGCACGTCACTGTGCAGAGCTTTCATATCTGCCTGAAGAGGAAGTAGTATTGGGATGGGGTCTATTGCAAGTATCTCGTGCTCAGAAAAGGCTGCAGAGAGGGCTCGGTTAATATTAAAAGGTTGAGTGAGGAACCGGTTCGAACCGGTTCGCGCTTATCAAAACCGGTAACCGGAGTGATATTATGTGAGCTACCCTAAACCGGAACCGAACCGGAACAAAACACAACGCTACTGAACCCGAACCCAACCGAATTAATGACCGGTTCGACACCCTGTCTATAGGTTTATTCTTTCTATCAAATCCGTCGTTTGCTTGCCATCCCAAAGTAGGCAATGGACTTCGTGAGGCCACAGTCCATAAATATAGTTGGATTCAAATTAGCCTATAAACTGACAGGGGGAAGCGTGGAAACAACCTTCACGAGTACAGCTAGCTTTTTGTTTGAGCATGGTGTAACATTAGCGAAATGATTCAAGAAACTATTCGATATTTGCTTCGCACTCAAAATTTACTATTTGCACATGCCTATCCATCTAGAATGAAACTTTGGTCAGAGTCGTCAGGAGTACGTCGACAACATACAACGATAAAACAAATCTATGGCAATATCTTTCAGAGTCCGATCGCCAGGCATTCACCTTGGTGATGAGGTCCCTCGCTGGTTTGCAGACAAAGTCGGGAAACTTGATGTCGATGGCGCAGATGCGACGGTGAGTCTCCCTGAGCGTTGTGGACTCGAAGGGCGGCTTGCCCACCAGGAACTCGTAGGTGAGTACGCCAAGCGTCCAAATGTCCACCTTTTCGTCGTACACACAGCACCCAATCATCTCGGGCGGCATGTAGTCCACGGTGCCGCAGATGGTTCTCCGCCTGCAACAGGGGGCACCGCTCAATCGACGGAGAGCGAAAAGCGTGCACTTTTAGCGGAGAGTTTTCCCGGCGAGTTCCGCATCGTCCCGTTCTTTGACGGGGGGCACTCTGGGTGGGGCTTTGGAATGCGTGCGTGGCGAAACCACTGGCGCGTAACCAATCACAGGGACAAGGGAAGTGGAGAGGAGGTAAAGGCTTTGGCTGTAACCGCAGCGGATGCCACCCCGCTCAGTGCTGCAGGCGCAGGACGAATGCAGGCAAAGCTGCACAATGAATGCAACTGATATATGTCCTTGTTCTATTTTTTTTTTTTTTTTTAACTCAAAGATTATGTTTTATGCCGTTATTGAAGCCCGAGCGCTTGCTTCTTACGTCCTTAGCAATAATCTACCTGCAACCTTATTCGGGAAACATTCGTTGAGATCTGTTACGTGCTCCCACTCTGACCAATGAGAGCAGCTCTAACCTGGAAGACGGTGCGTGTACGGACCAGCCGAAGTCGGCCATCTTAAGCTCCCCGTTGAAGCCTAGCAGTAGGTTCTCTGGCTTGATGTCCCGGTGGATCACCTTGTTGGCATGGCAGTACTTTAGGGCCACGCACAGCTGGTAGATGTACTGCAATGGGAGTCAAACAAACAATCAACAGGACACGTAGCAAGTCTTGTACGGCCGTGGACAAAAGTAAACTGGCATGTGTCCACGCCCCAAGGAGCACGCGAGACAAGACCCATGAAGTTCTCGGATGGTCAACAGCACTGTGCTGCTTGGGGTGTTCGCCTCGCTTGTTGCCACCCCACGGCGATAGGAAGGATCGGCTTCTTGATTCAAGTTTTCACCTCGTCAAAATTGAGCACGGAATAAAGTTAAACACTCCATGTTCGTAGACATTCAATAGAACGTGAACAAAGACGGGCATCAGCTGTTGTTTACACAGGCTGGCTTTCACACGAAATGCGTTTCTGAAGCTCGCATTCCATTTTTTATGTAAAAAACAACACAAAAGGCAACAGACCAAGAAGAAGAGGCAAACACGCCATAATATTCGTCTCCTTTTCCTCCGTCTGCATCTTTTGAGCCGTTTGCTTTTACTAATTGTCTACAAAGCAGCCCAGTCGTCATCACTGTCTCCTTCTCAATTACCCATTTTCACCCTAGTCGGTTCTGCCCTTAAAGAAACAAACAAAGAAAAACATATGTTTTGGAAACGGATAATCCGTTTAAACAAGATTTCCCCCGAAACAAAAAACGATGCCGCAATGTTTATTCTGAGTTTAGAACTTCTGTCAACTCAAATGTGCGGGCTCAAAAGTGCTAGTATTTCGAGATCAATGTCATAGTTATGTCAAAATAGGAGTGATTGTGTAAGCCTCATATTACTTGGAAGAAGTGCAAAGGAGCAACGGCCGTTTGTCCGTATCGCATACCTGCTCTGCGCGCTGCATAAAGGCGCAAGAGAAAAAAGCGGACAGCAGGATTGGCTGATACACTTCATCCACGGCTCCATCTGTTTACGCCTAGCGACCCAAGATTTGCGCCAAGTATTTTCTCGTGGTCAATACATTTTGTGATATGCTAAGGCAGTTAAAGAAATGCTTTGACCGGTGCACGTGTCTTTTGACAGAACCTGCAAACTTTGTCTCTGATCGACTCTCATAGAAGCGGTAGAAACAAAGTTGTATATCCTTCTTTTTCTTTGGCACATTTTTTTTTATTAAAAAGCAATTTTTTTTGTAGATATTTTATACATGGATGAAAGCTTACCAGTTTATGTATACCTCCCTTCAACGCAGAAAAAACATATGGTCTTTGTTTCGCTTGTCTTTTTGTGAGAATTTGAAGTAAGAGTAGCAAATTGTGGTGCACGGTGCCGTCGCGGTGAGTTTTCAACTACTGTAAACGACTCCATTTTCGCGGGCTCACATTTTCGCGAAACGGGCCAAAGCTGAAAATTTGAAATTATTGGCGGGTTCTAGTTTTCGCGAATCGAGTGTGGCTTCCGTAACGTTCACATATTGCCCGAATTGTTCGCGGGACGTATTTTTCGCGAATCGTAGGCGATTCGCGAAATTCACGAAAATTAGGTACTCGCGAAAATTTACTCGTTTACAGTATCCGCGACAACACCCGTACGAAAGTGTGACAACCTGGAAACTGCGATTCGGCCTAAAATGTAAAACCTGGTAATTCCAGAGATAGCTGAAAACTTGACATAAAAGACACTTAAGACTGCTTACGTGTAGGAATGCTTTTGCATTCCTACACGCAGCGCGCGTCTTCCCTTCGCGCACGGCGCACCGGCGGTAATATCGCTTCCCCCCCCCCCCCCCCCCTGTGCAGGCGCGGCGAACCCCGCCGGCTTCATGACGTTTTCCGTGACGAAGCATCTGCGTTGCTGTGCTTTTCTTTGTGTTTTACTTTTGAGGCGCGTTCGCTTTGACCTTGAGTGCACCCGCCGGCTTCCGTGGCGAAGCATCTGCGTTGCTGTGCTTTTCTTTGTTTTATTTCTGAGGCAGTCAATGGGAATTTAGGTCAGTGTTGTACGGAACGGCGTTCCAAGGAACGCGTTCCTGGAACGCGTTCCTTTTGGGAGGAACGAAGGAGCGCCGACGTTCCATTTTGCATCAGTGGAACTGGAACGGGAACTAGTTCCTTTTTTACTGGAACGGAAGAAGGAACGGCGTTCCTTTTTTTCGTCCAGCGGAGTAATTTTTAATTTATTCCTGAGAGGGAAATTCCAAAATATATAAAAACAATATCATTACGAACAGTAAGGCCTAGGTACTTTTTTGTTACTTCTCTTAAGCCCCCCCCCCCCCCACACACACACACACTCGTGCAACCGCGTACGACCTAGAGAGTTACGACGGCGAAGGACCTGATTTGCAGCAGCGCATCTGGTCCTACGTCGTCGAAAGAGTCTTAAAAATCGGTCTTGCCTTTCTGAGTCGTACTCAGTTGCAAGTGTGTAAACGGCGCTTTAAGGCCCGTTGACACACTTGCAACCGAGTCGGACCGACCGAGACAAAACTGGTTTTTAAGCCTCTTGCGACGTCGTGGAACCGGATGCGCTGCTGTGGAGCTGGTCCTAAGACGTCGCGAGAGGCTTAAAAATCGGTCTTTTTTCTCTTGGTCGTACTCGGTTGCAAGTGTGTGAACGGCGCTTCAGGGTTTATTTTGTGAGGTTTTTTCTTGGTGACAGTTGAGTGCAGGAACGCTAATGGACATTGATAATTTTTTTTTTCAGTGCCCGAGACTGCTGTACCGAAAACCAAAACTTTTAGTCAAAGGAAAAGACAGAAGAGGGACGTCTCAAACTCAGCTACTTTCTTTGCTTCCACGAATCCTCATACACCCAGAAATCTAAGGCCGACTACAGCCCTCACTGAACTTTTAGAAGGAGATCCACATTTACAGGAGCTCATTGTTACCAGACACCAAACGCAACCTTGTATCCCGAACAGTGGTCACTTAAAATACACACAAAAAAAAAACAAAAAAAACTTCATTTCTTTTCCTGCGTGTCCCGCACCTTAAAACAGAACAACGTATCTAACCTTCACGAACATTGGTCACTTAAAATATACAAAAAAAAAACAACCTTCATTCCTTTCC